CCACAGGAAGAGGGTGAGTCCTTAGATAAGTGCCCCGGCCTCCTGGTCTATCAGAGGTGGGGGATTCTGAGGTGTGTTTTCACACAGTTTTTCAGCAGGTTTAAGAGCTCTTTTATTTTTTTTTTAATGGTTTTATTGATTTTGGAGGGAGAGAAAGGGAGAGAGATAGAAACATTGATAAAAGAGTAACATCCACATCTTCTGGCTGCCTCCTGCACGCCCTCCACCATGCATCGAGTCTGCAACCCCGGCATGTGCCCTAACCAGGCATCGGAACCAGCGACCTCTTGGTGCATGGGTTGATGCTCAACCACAGAGCCACGCCAGCGGACAGGTTTGAGAACTCCTGTAATTTGGAAGGCATTGCTTTATGTTTCCTTTAAAGCAACCTTGTCGTTGATACTTTATCAAGAAATTTGTGCTAATATTACATATCGGGATAAAAGACTCAGAGGTCCTTGTTGCTTTTTGGGAGCTTTGTTACTGTGAAAAAAGAAATTCCTCTCTTAATTGGATCCCATCTTAAGGGATCTTAGTTTGAATCCCTCAAGAGAGGGCCGTGGGGACAAGCACTTTATAGGGAAGGGGAGTGAGTGCCTCAAAAGGTTGGATTAGAGGAAGGCAGGGAAAGGTTGGAAACATTTCCTTATACACCACTAAATGTCCTACATGTTACATGCTTTCATTTAGTTAAAAAACAAGCAAACAATACTTGCCGGACAAATCTATGCAAGTTCTACCAACATCTCAGTTCTACTAACATCTCAGACTCATCTCTAAAAACCCAGTCAGCATTATCCAAACACAATGTTCCTGCCCTCCCCAATTCCAACTCTTTCTCCTGGTGGCTTTTTGCTTTGTTTTTTATCATAGTACCACCATTGTCTAGCCTAAAAATGCCAGGCATATTTTACTTTTATGTATTATCTGCACCTGACAGCATGTCAGTTTTTCCTAATGTATTGTATCAATTTTTTCATTTTTCTCTGCCTTCCATTCTATCCAAATTAAGGTCTCAAGCCTGCCCTTTAAGCCTACACCATGGTTAGCTACCAACTGCCTCTTCTTACCCCAATGTATAATATGACATTATTGACTATATTCTCTGGTCTTCTAAGGATATCATCTCTCTCCTTGTAAATTATAAGCTGTTTGAGAGTAGGACCCATGTTTTATACATCTTTGAATTTACCAGAGGACCTAATATATTTTTTGCATGTAATAATGTATCAACCTAAAGTTATAGAAATATCCAGATTTATCTCAGTTTATGACATCAAAAGTCCAAATCATGTAAAGGCCACTTTAAAAATACTTATTGACCACCTGCTATTTGCCAGGTAGCATATCAATTGATGGAGATATAGTGGTGAACAACAATAACAACACAACACGAGTTCTTCTCATAGTCCAGGAAGACAGAATGAAAAGGTAAATACATATATGGTTATAAATTAAGAGCTTCAAAGACACTGAGCAGGATTGTCTGCCAGAGAATAATATGATGATCTATTTTAACTGGATGAGCAGGAATATCCTCTGTAAGGAGACCTTTAAGTTGAGACTAAAGAAAGAGAAGAATCGTAAAAATTCACAGGTTGTGTATTCCAGCAGAAAGAACAATTCAAGCAAAGACCCCATGTGTGAAAAAACAAACAAACAAACAAAAAAAAAACCAAAAACAATGCACCTGGGGAAACTAAGGAAGGTCGATGTGGCTAAAGCAAAGTGATCCCGAAGGACATGGCCAATGGAGAACTGGCAAGGTAGTCTGAGACCAGGTCATAGAGTCCTTGTAGACCACCTTAAGTCTGTCCTGGAAGAAATGGGAAACACTACTTATAGGACTGAAGCAAGAGAGTGGCCTGTGTGCTTTGATTTAGAATTGTAAAAGTTCACTCTACCATGCATGTAGAAAACTGATGGTGTCAATAGGGAGGCCAGGCAGCGGATTACTGAACAGGCCAGATGAGATTATTGCAGTTTGGAAGGGGGTTGGAGCAGGGCAGAAGAAGATAAACTGATGGACTTGAGGTATATTCCAAAGGCAAATTGTTATAACAATGATGAATGGATTGTATGTAGGGAATAGAGAGGGAGGAGTCATGAATTACTTTCCAAATTTCTGGACCAAACAACTCACTGGGCAGATGGACTGTGTTTTTCTCAAAAGAAAGACATTGGATGGAGGACTGGTTTAGATGTGGGATGAGAGAATCAGAACTCAGTTTTTTAGATATGCTATGTGCACAATGCCCGCTAGATTGTGCGTGTAACATTCAGGTAGAGATGTCAGGAAGGCAGTAAAACATATGACCCGGGAGCTCAGAAGACAGGGCCAGGCTGGAGACATGGACTGGGGACTCATGTGGTACTTAATGGCATTATTTAGCTGGTATTTAAAGATATAAAGACATTTAGGTGTAGAGCTCCTAAAGAGAGAGGTATGGGAAGAGAAGGAAAGAGGACCCGGACAGAGCCCTGGGACTCTCAAACACTATGGTGAAGGGAAAGAGGCCAGCAAGGAGACTCAGAATGGCTAGAGACAGAGGCGGTGTGGGGACTAAAATAATACTATCACAAAAAGAGAGGCTTTCAAGGAGAAATGTTCACTCTTGATAACAACTGAGGAGTTGGGTGAGCCCATATTAGGATCCTTTCTACTGGGAGGACGTCTTATCAAGGACAGAGAGTCTTTTATTGTTGAGTCCCTAAAGTAGGTCCTGGCACACAGTGGGCACTTGATACATATTAACCAAATGACTCATATTAATTGAATCATTGAATATTTATGTTCAGTTGAGGGTTACAGATAGGCATAGGTAGTTTTTAAAAGCCTTCCTTTTCTCCCCCCTCCACGTACCCTTTTCCTATCAGATTCTCACACTTGCCTACAAAAGCATTGATTAAAGAGAGAGCAGTATCTATAGGCTTTGTCAAAGCTACATTAAACACCCTTTATTCCTGCTGACTTCAGAAAAGTGAACTGTTCTCTAAGCTTTGGAGGAATGAAACTTGGGCTAACATAGTGTGTGAAGCAGTAAAGGGTGGTTAGTTCTTGAAAAGTGGTGAAATCATAACTATAACCACAATCATAGAAATAAGATCCTGCCCCCATGAATGCTCTATTGGCTGCTACTCACCTTAATTATGATATGAAAAGAATTGTGTTGAGTGGATTTTGTCACATAAGAAGGGAGAGAAATAAAAATATCTGTGGCTCTGACATTGCCCAAGTCTGGAGAGTCTGGAAGTGCCTGTGAGACAACTACTTCCTGGGCCCCAACTAGAAATGTGGCTACAAAACAAGAGGGATTGCTTATTTATAACGATCCCAATGTGAGCTAGTTGCAGAGCTGGGTTGAAATCAGCATGTGGATCTACTCAGAAAGAATCTTGGAGTGGAAAAACAGAGCAAGAGGACCATTCTCCATGGGCCCTGTGAGCTACTTTTCTAGAAGCCATTTCATTTCATTTTTGCACCATTGTTTGCCTTTTACTTTGTTGCAAATAATAAGAGAAGATTACTATTGCTCTTCTTTAGTCTGTTGACAAAAGAGTAAAAAATGATTGGGTCTGGCTAGAATATCCTACTTTCCACAAATATCTCAAACTTCAAATCTAATACTTAAATGGCTTGTGTGTGTGCCCATTCCTGTGCATACACACATGCTCAACCTTGTTCCTCCCATGTATTTTTTTTCTCTATGAATTAGCATCATATACTCAAATCCCAAACTCAGGACTTGGCCATCATCCTGACTCCTTCATCTCAGCTCCATCTTTGTATTTGCCAACACTGTCACCAAGTTCTATTGGGTTCTGTCTCTCATATCTCTTGACTCTATTATTTCCTCTGTTCCACCTTTGCTACTTCCTAGTGCAGGCCATCCATCTCGCTACTCATTATTTACTACAGGAGCCTCCACTGTGCCATGCCAGCATGACCAAGGGTGATCCTGAGTGGGGGGGTGAAAGGATTAAGGAAAGACAGACAAGAGAATAATAGCTGGGTCTCGGTGGGACGCTGCCTCCCTGATGAGGAGACAACGATAGCGCCCACAGCGATGCCACGAGGCAAAGTAGGGGCGTGATCACGTTGTTTACAGCATTCTCGTGAGTTTCAACCTCACTCAACTACATGCACCTGAACTCTAGCACAAGGTCCGTGGGGCTACGTGTTTGGACCGTAGGTTCAAGCTCACAACCACAGCCGTTGGCTATGATTGTGCTGGGAGGGCCCTGCCCTCCAGCTGGGACCTGCACGTGTCAATGAGAGGACCCTGTCCTTTCATTAGTCCGATGCTTAAACCTGGCCAAAACACTGTACCCGGGCCCCACACTCCACAATTAGGTTTCCTGTATCCAATCTTCGCTTCACATTTCTGAAACACAGGGCTGACCAAGACAAACCTTTCAACAGCTTCCTAACCTGGCTTAGGGGGTTCATGATGTGTCCCTGTTTCTCTAGTCAGCCTCATACCATGCCAACCTGCGCGTGGACAGCTAAATGTGCCACCGAGACCACCTCTTCCAGTTTCTCTACCTGGCCCTGCTGGAGTCCACCCTTCTTCCTCCTCTCAAACTGCCTAGGCTAACTCGTCCTTGTCCTCCTTGTCCTCCCAATCTCTCTTTCAGTGTCCCTTCAGCATTCAGAATTTTCTCTATTAAGTATAAGTTTGTCCATCTACCACTTGACGAAAAATTTTCCTGAAGGCTTATCCTGCCTTGCTCACCGTGGTATTGTGGGTCTTGCAACTTGCTGGCTCAATGAATGCGCTGATTAAATGAACAAGTACTTTAGTGACGTATCTGCCATGACAATTTAAGATGTGATATTTCAGTGTGTATGGTTTTAGTGTGCACCCGCGCGCCTGCACACACGCGCGCTCACACTCACACACCTCAAGAAGCCCTTTTTCTTTTTTCGTGTGTTTTTTTTTTCACATAGCAGTAATTAATACCTGGACCTGTATCTCCAAATATCAGCCAAATCACCTATGGCTGTCTCTCTGGTTGCCGAAGAAAGAAACCTGCGGCACATCTGGATCGCATTAGAAGGAGAGTCTAACGGTTAGACTCTAACCCCTTCGGATGTGCTATGCCCTGGTCCCTAGCGCTTCTTCAGAGGCTTATGCTGTCTGTGCCTTGGCCTCACACTGGCTCTCTGGTGGTGAGTGGATGCGTGGAAAGGGGGAGCAGCAATAACGGGGCTTCTTGGTTAAAGTGAGGCCAGCCACAGTGCTTTCTCTGCCCAGCCCCGCTGTTGAACTCTTGGCAGCCCTGACCTCCTGCCATTCAGCCTGAGAACTGGTTGCTCATCTGCGTCCTCCCCGGGGCAGCCCAGGGCTTAGAGGAAGTGCGGCAGGGGGAGGGGTGGGGGTAAGTCCTGGGCACAGACGCTCGCAGGGCTCTGAGTCTTGAAGTGAGTAACCCTAACGTTTCTGTGACCAAAATACCTCCGGCGCCTTCGGGAGTTCCTTTTGCTTGCCTTTCATTTGTGGCCCTCTGGTTATTCCTACGCTGCAGAAAGCAGATAGAGCGCCCGATTATCAGCGCAAAATCTAGTCTAGACGGTTCCCCGCCGCAGCCCGGCGCCCAGGTTTGTGGCCGGCCCTGGGCCACACTGGGGCGGGCGGCGGGG